CCTTGTGTACTTCCTTCCGCCCTCTCTCTGTGTTACCATCGTGAAATAGTTAGACCCATTAAAGGTGTTATATACAACCACAGGCTTCTGTCGTCAATCTATTATAGATTGCAGACAGACTATTAATTACAAATTTATTGATTTATTCATTGGTAGATTAACCACATTAATTTTAAAAGTTTAGAAAAACGACTTTACTTTGAGTGAATAGTGACGTCCCATGATTTGTTTACTTTTTAGTACAATAAATGGTGGCTCCAATACAAGATTTCGTATCTTATTCAGATCTTTAACGCGTTCTAAAGCTAACTTTCTGTCGGCTATAACTTTAACAATACGTCCGTTTGCTGTTTTTATTACGTTACAACACTGTCTTATATCAATTTTCAACTGTCTTTTTCATTTAGCTTTACAATAAATTTCTCTAGCTCTAAAATCTGTCCAAGAAAGTTATTTATAGATCTAGATCTAGAATCTAGGTCAAACCAAAGATTTTTTTAGTTAAAAATACAATTAGTTAAAAATATTAGACTTAAGCAAACCATGCGTAGATCTTGAATATAGATAATTCTATCTCGATTTAGATAATGAGTTTCTACATACTAAACTATTTTAGACCTTTATTATTTTATATAAATCTTTGTTTGTTTAGCTATGGAATATTGCTAATTTGGAAATGCTCGATCTAGGGCCTATTTGCGTAATTTAAGATTCATACGCGGCTTCTATACGTTAATTTTGCAAAATTATAGACTTACCGTAAATTCTAGATCTAGCTCTATCTAGATAATATAATAAACTATTTCAGGCCTTAATATTTTACGTTATATAAATCTTTGTTTGTTTAGCTATGGAATAGGCAAATTTGGGATAATATTAAATTTGAAATGCTCGATCTATGGCCTATTTGCGTAACTTAAGTTTCATACAAGGATTCTATACCGCTAAATTTGCTTATAATTGAAACTTTCCAGATAGGTAAGTTGATAGTGTAATCGCTAACCGTGTGTGTGGTACGGGTTCGTAACACATCTTGTAAATATTGTTTTTTTTTGTAATTTTTTTCCCATAGATGTGAATGATAAAGTTGTCTATCGGGACTTGGCAGGACACTGGGCAGGTGAAGTAGAGTTCACCTGTTTCTGTGTTCTTGGCATATGAAGGGATAGTGTGGTCAGTGCCATGCTCGACCGGAATCTTTTTGTAAACGATAAAAAGATGTTGTCTGAGACTTGGCGGGACACTGGGCAGGTGAAGTAGAGATGGGTATGTGTAGAGTTCACCTGTGACGTCAGCATATGAAGGTATAATGTGGTCAGACCGATGCTCAGCCTATGTTGGTGTTAGTGTTTCTTCCAGACTTTTTTCTCCGGGGGGGGGGGGGGGGGGGGCGGTAGACTTTCTTCGTGGAGGGGGAGGGGGGGGGGGGCGGAGCCCTCCCCCTCTCACCTCTCTCCCCCCGAGATGTCTGGAAGAAACTCTATTCGGTGTTTTAAAAGACAAAAACATGTCTAAGTTGGGGGGGGGCGACACTGGGCAGGTGAAGTAGAGTTGACCTGTTTTTGTTATCTCAGCTTATAAAGGGATAGTGTTGTCAGACCCATGCTCTACCAAAATAGGTGTTTTTAAAAGACAAAAACGTCTGAGGTGTGACGTCTATTTGAATGTGGGATCTGGTTTTTTTGTGACAAGTGACAGAAGTGATGTTTTTTTATGAATGACCCCCCAAAACCCACAGTTATCCAAGGGATGACGGGTAGTCTAGTATAGATCTAGATCTAGTAAACTAAAATAATTAATATAAAGTTGATACTGTTTCATATAATTTGTAATCATAATCACTATCGCCCAAACTGTCAAAATACTACTACTTCATCGTGATAACGTTGTTGATCGTGTCAAAATTTCCCCACCGATATGCAGTACGCCTATTAGTAAATTTAAATAGAGGTGCCACAACAGTTGTATTTGTGTCTGTATTGTAATTTCAAAAATTTAATTACACGATTTTAACTGTATATATAAAGTAATTATGTGTGAATATATATATATATATATATATATATATATATATATATATATATATATATATATATATATGGTGACAGGACAAATGATCTCAGGACAAATGATCTCAGACAAAATATCTCAGACAAAATATCTCACGGACAAATGATCTCAAGACAAATGATCTCAGGACAAATGATCTCAAGGACTAATGATCTCAAAATATCAGGACAAAATATATCAGGACAAATGATACCACGGACAATTGATCTCAGACAAAATATCTCAGACAAAATATCTCACACCTAAATTTTAATAGTGTATTGGATGATTTTAATTGATCTGAATTTTTTTTTATTGACTGTCATATGGTTCTGTTTGTTATGTTTAATATTGTTATAGGCCTATATAATAATTCTAAGAAATGTTAGCCGTATAAATTTGTCAAATTGCAGTAAACATTTTAAGGTTAGTATTAGTAATATACTATACCAAGATTAAAGAAATAATTTCCAAAGAAAGCGTATGTGTGCTTGACATACGTGAGACAATCCTACCACGTAGGTGGACGAAACTAGATCAAAGAGGATGGAATAACAATAAAGACACACCTTCGTATCAAGGTGGCCGCCCGCTTTCCTTAAGGGAAAGACATCCGCCCTCCATGGACAATACGACTAGCATATAAAGTCCATTGTTATGCGTCGGTCACACCTTAGTGATCAGGTGACTAATGCTTATTTAAACGACAGCGGTCATCGCGGAGCTAAGTATGTCGTAGTGTGCAGCAAACAAAGCAGTATTAATGGTGATTGCTTTGCTATGGTCTCTTTCGTTACCTCGCAGAAAGGTATTAGGACATTAGTTTCTGGTGAATTTATGTTTGCCATAAGCAGGCAAAGAGATTTAGAAATGTGAAATTAGGACATGCCGAGCAAGAGTTCACACAATAGATGATCACAAAGTATTGGAGAGGTGTGATCATAACGATGTACCTACCAGAAAATAAACTTACACGTTATGTCTGTGTTGATGATGTAATAAAAACAATAGTTTAACGTTACGAACCTTCAGACCCATTCACATTTTTTAAAGATATTTCGCGTGATATGAACATTAATGTTGTTACTTTATTTGTTTTATACATTATTATTTATTATACCTTTCAGGCTAAAAGAGTAAGTTTGTTTTAATTTTTACTTTTTCAAAACAAATGCTACTACAATTGCTTAATACACCTTTTGATGGTTTGTTAGGTTTCATTAATTCATTTTATTCACAATTATTATACGTAAAAAAAAAGTAAACTAAACCATATTAACAGTCAATAAAAAAAAAGTTCAACTAAAATCATCGTAAATACTATTAAAATTTCGCTGTGAGATATTTTGTCTGAGATATTTTGTCTGAGATCATTTGTCCATGATATCATTTGTCCTGATATATTTTGTCCTGGTATCTTTTGTCCGTGAGATCATTTGTCCTTGAGATCATTAGTCCTGAGATCATTTGTCCGTGAGATATTTTGTCTGAGATATTTTGTCTGAGATCATTTGTCCTGAGATCATTTGTCATGGAACCATATATATATATAGGGCCTATATATATATATATATATATATATATATATATATATATATATATATATATATATATATATATATATATATATATATATATATACATATATATATATATATATAAAGAGAGAGAGAGAGAGACAAATGCACATTCACTGATATACATATGTATATATCTATCTATCTATAGTATTTAGTAATTATATGTTAATAAATTAATTAAAAACTACATATGTAAATACATATAAACATATATATATATATATATATATATATATATATATATATATATATATAATATGTGTGTGTGTGTGTGTGTTTGTGTGTGTGTGTAGCTTAATCTTCTCCGGGTATAGTTTTTTTTTTATTGAACTTTAAACTCTGTCAATGAAATCATTGGTTGGAATATTTATTTGCCTTTGATAGGGTTTTTTCCAAAAAAAAAAAAAAACCCACAACCGGGAAATTCCGTTTATTACCAAGTGGTAGGTGCGTTTGGTGGTAAGTTTTTTTTTTTTTGTTTAATTTATCATTACTCTTTTATTTATAATTGACAATAAAAAAATTCTCGTATGTCAGGTTGTTTAGTTCTATGTATTTAGTTGACACAATGTTTGGACGAGTTATAATAGGAGAATTAAAACATGTTGACCTACGCCTGTTGTCAAGTTGAGCCTCTACGTTCGATGATTTAAACCGCATCTACCCCCCAGGAACAAAGATCGGAAAAAATAGCAGTGGCGTTATTTACATTTCATTTATCTCAGTTTTAGAAAACAAAATCACGCGACAAAAATACACCATTGGTAACGCGTTGATGAAACCCTTACAAAATGTTTCGTTACCCTAGTATGTGGGACTACATCGCAGCAATGAAACAAGTTGCAAATAAAAAAATATGACCAATTAATCTGTAACTTGACCATCCAAAGCAGATAAAATGGATCTCAGAGAACTTCTTATTCATTTAGCAAAATTAAAACCATGAAAAAAAAGGATCTAAATAAATCATTAGCAATTTTTAGAAATGTGTGTTCGGTTAGTGGCGTCACAAGGTCAGGTGTCACCCTGTGCGTTTACTAAAGGTGTCACCTCATGACCCCTTAGAATTTTGATTAGTTTATTGAAAGTAAATTTTACATTGTTTTATCATTGTGTCACGCCTAAATGTTGTCATTAGATGCGGACCACACCTCTACCCCCACATTGTGACGCTACTGTGTTTGATCACATTAAAAAAAATTACCCTTAAGCCTGTAAGATTTTTACAAAACTAAGGGGTTGTAGGCCTACTTAATAATATAGTATCAGTACGTATAAAATACAAAATGTACAGAATATTTATATTATTAATTAAAACCCTCTGAGTAGCAGTTGATTTCTTTGTTAAACTCCGTTGTAGCGTAACGGCTGACGAATGGGCCCACTTATAATTTTTGCATAGGGGCCCAAAAATCCTAGCTACTCCACTGACTGAACTTTGTCATTGAAGTGCATGTGTAGCTTGAAATGTGTGTTTGTTAAAATTGTACAGTTGATACCCAATATATCCAGCCTTTTTCTTCTTCATTCAGCTGCTTTTCTTTCTGGATTTCTTTTCTTATCCTTTGTCAATCCAAGAACAAGTGTTGTATCCCCAACATAGGTTACTATCCCCAACTATTGAGCCTCATCTACACGAGAGATTGAACTCAGGACTTCTCGGTTTAGCAACCACGAACTTTACAAGCTCTTGATTTTGGTATTGGCGTGTCAGTTTTCTTCTTAATTTAGTAGACATTTAAAATTAAACAAAACAGTTGCCTACCTCAGCAAAAGTCAATGTAGGCCAATTATGGCCAGTGTAGCAATTAGCAATTGGATTCCATGCAACACTCATTCCATACTTCTCTAGTGTGGAGGTCTTTATTATTAATATTATCCTGTATGTTTGATACTTTTCTTTAACTTTATAATATTAACCATAGGCACTTTTTGCCTAAAGTACAAACTGGGTCCCAATATTCTCTGGTAAACAATTGAGTTCTTTTCTAAATATGTGTTCAGCTAAGAGAAACAGCATTCATAGATTATTTTAGTTTTATTTTTTTTTGTTTTAATGTCAAATTGTGCTTTGAATACTATAACTACATACACCACTTTTCAACTTTCAATCACTCGCATCTTTTGTACACAGTAAGAAAACAAAATACATCAAATTTTGAGAAATAATTTATTTATCAAACCTGACCATTGCATATAAAGCAAAACATGAATATATCAAGATTATTTCAATTATGGGCATTTGGAGATTCTTGTTTAACTATGGTAGATGGAAGTATTAGTTGCCTTTCACATTTTTTTTTCCACTTCCTGAAACAAAACAAAAATGATTTCCTTTAAAAAACCATCTGAAATAATAACATTAGCAAAAAAACAAAAAAAAAAACAAAAAAAAAAACATCTTTAGTTTAATACATGATGAGAAAACAAGAAAAAAAGTGATTGAATGGAATGAATCATTTTGATATCTACAAAATTTTGCTTTAGCGATAAAGGTGAAAAATTTAAGTTCTTTTAAGTGAAATAATAGCTAGAGAAAAAAACTATTAGACCTAATTAAAATAATTTAATTCCTTTATCCCAAAACACTATATGTATCCTTAAAAAAAGAAAACTTAAAATTTATCAATATTTACCTTGTGTAAAAATTCTTCTGTACATCTACTGTATCAGCTGGACGCTCATTAGGTATGCCTGGTTCCTGTTGGGCAGTTAAGACAAATTAAGTAAATAATTCAAATTTGTATGACAAAACACTAAATGATAATGTAAGATTTATATATTTATGTATATATATATATATATATATATATATATATATATATATATATATATATATATATATATATATATATATATATATATATATATATATATATATATATATATATATATATATATATATATATATATATATATATATATATATATATATATATATATATATATATATACATTAGTACAAATCAAACATCCTGCTTGCAGATCATCATATTTTGCAAAACAAATATTTAAAAAGATAAAATTATTTATAAAAATTCATGTTGTATTAATCATCACCAATGACTTGGTCTTACAAGGTAAAATTTTTTTTTTAAATACAATATTTATACAAATAAAAAATCATAATCTCAATCAAAATGTTCAAAATAAACCAAAGTAAACTTGTGATAACTTACCTGATTCAAGTTTGAGAGGATTTCACCCAGTTCTGGCTACTGAAGCAGATTAGATGCTTGTATTTTAATACTTGTGATATACTGTTTGCAATTTAGTTTTAGTCCTGGAGATCTATGTTGTTGGCATAGACTGTTAAACCTGGATAGTAATATTATAGAATTAAATTATATCTAGTATAATATAAATATTTAAAAATATAAATGACAATAAATTATATTTATCATCATTGGAAATAAAAGTGGTACAATTAAGTTATAAAAAAACAACAAATTATAACATTTAAAGCAGCTTATTAATAATTGTCATACCCTTTCATACATTTAGGTCAAATGTAAGAGGTAACAGAGAAAGAACATCTTGTGTCATTTAGTATGTTGTAGTCTTATTACTGGTAATAATCAGATCTTCCCCTTTTTTGGGTGAACCTGTAAAAGAGAAATTATAACATGGATAAACACAATGAATTTCATATCTAATCCTCAACTAGTTATCACCCAATCCTTATATCATTTTTTAAAACCAATTTCTAAATATGTTTTTGGAACAAATTTATGTTAAGTCTACCTATTTTAATGTTCAGAATACTAATAGTTATCAAAACTACCTCCAGTTGAATTTAAGATACCTTTATAAAAAGTTATTATGACTTTAACTTTCTGTAGTTGTTGTTTAGGCTATTTGTTTATATCTTTTAAATAAATATCTCATGCCTTGTTTTAAAAAGACCTACAAGTCTAATTTTGATTTTATGGTATAATCTGATAAAAAAAATTAGGCTGCTACATCTGAAAATCATAACAAACTATAACTAAGGTCAAGGCACAGACTTCTAAATTAATGATAAGTAGGCCTGTATAGATATTGTATATAATTACTAGCCCAATAATATTACTCTACGACCTATGCATAGGACTTAAGGTATCAGACCTAATTCCTATAATTAGGCCTAATTATTAAATAATTAATAGATCTAACAGTAGGATAATTACAATTATGAACCTTAGCTGACATAGAGAGCTGAATACTTAACTAAACATTTAAAAAAATTGTGGTTAGCTAAGTGAGTTGAATCATTTTATTTAGATAGGCCTAGGCTATAATATACTCTATAGTATAGTGATAGCCACAGAGTAGTGTATAGCATAATAATTTAAAATTAAATGTATAAGCAAAATAAATTAAACCTCTGCCTTGTTGCCTAATTAAAAACAAAAGCCTAATACCTAAGCCTTTTCCTAATAATTTAAAATTTGGCCTTTGGCCTAATCTGTTTTTTAATAAAAAATAAGCCTATACAATACACGAATGACATTCTTGTTCATTGCTCATGATTCTCAGACTGAACTAGTGATTTCTTATCTAATATCTAGTACTACTTTAGGCCTATTTATTAGTAGGCTGAACAAAATCTAACAGCTATACTTTATTACTATATTGGCCTATATTAGCCAGTAGGCCTGTTATTCTATAATTTATTTGTTTTCTTTCAATACATAGTAGATCCAGTGGTACCTCAACATTCTAGTGCCTCGACATACGAGATTTTTAAAAACACGAGCATTTGAGCGAGTAATATTTTGTTTTGAGTTACAAGCAAGATTTGAGATAACATATTCTGTGGCTTTAACAGTTCATGGAAAAGAAATATCCTCAAAAATATGCAAATGATTATTCATCGCAGCTATTTAATTTTAATATATATATATATATATATATATATATATATATATATATATATATATATATATATATATATATATATATATGTATATATATATATATATATAATATATATATTTTAAATATACATATATATTTATATATATATATATATATATATATTTATTTATTATATATATATATATATATATATATATATATATATATATATATATATATACATATATGATACAGTTATATATATAGATGATACATTTATATGTATATATAGATGATAAAGTTATATATATATATATATATATATATATATATATATATATATATATATGATACGATTAGTTAATAATATTTAGTAAAGACTATTACCATGTGACGCGTCAACAAAAGAGGGGACAGAGAACTATGAATGACCCTGAAAATATACTCCACTGTAGAGGCAGAAGTAGTTTGTAAATAATGAAAGATGTACTACTAATGCATTTGTAATTAACAATTGTTTAACACTGTTATGTGTTTTTCAGATCTGAAGGAAATACAATGAGGCCTCAATTTCGTAGCAACCGTTTCAAAGGTATCGTATTAGTATTTTGCAAATGCTATCTCTATCTATATCTTTTTATAGAGCAGATATTTGAAGATATCAATATGATCTTTTACAAGTATTCTCGACAGAATATATTTTTAGTTTTGTTAAGAACATTGCGCTTAAAAAACGTTTTATTTTTTTTAAATTTGGGTACAGGCATTAAATAGATAGTAACTGTTGTTATATCTAATTTAGATGTAAGTTTTAGTTGCCATGAGACTTTCTAGGAGAACATTAAAAATTTAGACCAAAATTGTAGATTGTTAGTTCCTATTACATCTCTATCATTTGTATGTATAGAAAATATAAATCTTTGCAGGTGAGCATTTACGAACAAACCTATTCAGCAACAAATCCAAAAACATCTGCCAACGGAAAACTCAGAACACAAACCAAATAAGTTTTTGCAAAAAGAATTGCAGAAATAATCATAGAGGTTTTATTCCTATAAGGGAATTCGCAATTGATCATTTACCACCTAGGTATCAAAACAAAGCAGTTTATCGCAACATCAGACGCCTGGCAAACTTAACTACAAGAATCGTAGTCAACGAATTTAGAAATTCGAAAAGGCTAGGGACAGGTACAGTGACTGGTGTGCGATTTGTCTACGACTGGAAAGACGATATAAAATTCGCGTGGGTTGAGATCACAACAGCATACCACGTTGTTCCCAGTCAGAGGAGTGCTCTTCATACAAGGGCCGAGTTATTTTATGATGATAATCTTTCCAGGCGAAATGTTGAATACTTGAATGGCAGTCATATTGTCTCTAGCAATCCTGAAGAGGACTGGTGTATCCTTGCAACGTATACGACGGATCCAAGGCTAGCTTTTGAACTCGCAGAACAGCTAAAAGAATTTGAAAAGCAAAGCAGAAGAGTAAACCGAATGTTCTCTGGAATGTCAGATCTTGCGATCATAGTGTCACATCCTCACGGAGGGCCCAAGCACGTTTCTATCGGGAAGCTATCACTTGAAGAACCGGAGAAAATTGTGTTCATAGGCAACGGTTTTGCAATCACTGCTGTTGTTAATGGTGACACTACGGTTTATACACTACATTTTAAATTAAAAGATATTGTGAGAGGAAAATGTAAGTAAATTACAGTAAATAATTTTTTTAGGGATTTTAAAATATCAGTTTTAAATAAACATCGATTAAAAGCTGATAAATGATGCAAGAAATAATAGATTAGACGGGACAGTTTGTAAACTATGCTATGTAGGCCTACCACAGTTTAAAAAAAAGGAAACTATCCTCGCTTTTATTTATAGATAATTAATAGTGGTGCATGATTGTATATTAAATGAAAGTTATTTCATTTTCATCGTGTTAGTGCTTATATAAAAGCATGCTATTATAATTTTTTTTTATTTACTATACGACTGAAAGGAATGGACACGTTATTTTATTGTTATTAAATATTTTGTAACCTTCTCTCCAGATGCTGAAGAGGTCGGGATTGAATGTGAAATTTGGTTTCCTGACGAAACAACATCTTTATACCCCCTGTGGCAGATGGACCGCTTGGTTCGACATGTAAGTTGTCGTTAAAAACTGTTTTACTATTTATTTAAAAAAAACACATCTTATAAAATTTTTATATTAAAAAACATTGTAGTTTAATTTAAAAAAATCGTTACTAAAACAAACAAGCTGATTTTTATTAGAAAAAAAATAGATTGCAAATTTTGATGTTAAGTTTCTTTGTTTCAATGACTCATTTGTATTAAATAAAGGGAAACACATTTCTTTATAGACAAAACATGAACTCTTCATGCAAGGAGGATTACGGAATTTTCGAGAAGACGATATGTACATGGAGCTTGAGTTACCTGAGGGTCAGCGGCAAGTGATGGACGACACCAAATCTCTGGACTACTACAAGGATGACTTATCCCAGGCTTTCAGAATCTTCCTCAAACAGAAACCGCTGGATTTCGGTAATAGCGTAGCTTTCAAGACAAACAGAGCTTCACCAGTTTGCTAGCTAGAAGCGTAATTTGATAGGGAGATAATTATAAATGTAGAAATATTTCGTTTAGAAATATTAGCACTCGTCGTGTTTAAAATCGTAATATAAAGTTTTTTTCTAACGAACATGACTGACGTTAAGAAACGTATTGGTGACTGAACATAGATCTGACTATACAATAAACTCATGCCGATAGGTCTGAAAGGGGGAACTGCCTTGCTTACTTTACAATACATCTTACAGAATTGTCTATAATACTATTTTTTTTGTTTTAAATAAACAAAAAAAAAAAAAACAACAGTTTAATATAAAAAATTTAAGCTTAAATTACTAATAATTAAATTTTAATTTATATTTCTATTCTTTAGATTAAAAAAAATAAATAAAAGCAAACTTTTAAAGGATACAGACATATAAAACAAAGACTATTGGTTATTATTAGAAAAGTAAATATAACTAATTTTCTTTCATATCCTTTGTTCTATAACAAGAAAACTTCTCGTGTCCTATCTTAAATTAACAAAGAAATGCACTTTGGTCTAAGTGTTATTGATTATTTTTATCACTCCACATTTCCTTTTTGTGTTTCGTGTTTCAATACATTTTTATATTTCACGAAATACTCAGGTTGCCGATTCTTATAAATAGTTTTGTTACAACCATCCAAAAAGAAAATTCTCCACATTGTAATTTAAAAAAAAAATTATGAAGTAGACTATTAAGCCAAACTATCTCAAATCCTCATTTTTTTAAATTTTTAAAATATTGTTTAGCTTTTATGCGCTGAATGAAGACTTGACTGTCAATTTTGTTTTAAATTGAATACGTTCCATAGCATCATTTTTATATATATGTAAATCTTGCATTGCTTGTAACATGAAGGATAGAATTTAAGAGTATACACAGCGATAATATTTTGATGTTGTTTTTTAAAGCTAATATTTTTTCTAACGATGTGTTATGAAATGTTCCGTTTTAGCAGCTATATATTATGATCCTAAGTGAATCATACCAAGATTTTGAAAGAATATTTCTTTTAGCTTATAGTATCTTAAGTCTAATAATATCACTAATTGTAGGCTGAAGCACGTTAAACGATATTTACTACGTTTTTTATATTTGAAATTTGTTTCATATTATATGTTTTTTTTTAAAAATTAAGGAATCTAGTCTGAAAAGATGAATTAAGTCCAAAAAAGATTTTTGACAAAAAAGCAACATAATGGAACTTTAATTTTTTTTTTATCTAACCTGTTTAGTAGCTGATCAATCTTAAAATAATCATCTTACTTAAACATGTCAAATAACTTGGTTCAAAATTTAATAGGCGAAAAATCCCAATACATTATTTTGAAGGGATTGTGTGAAAATCTTTCAATAACGAAAATTAAATAATTCTAAAAATAATAAGCATGTTGAATTTAATTAATTAAATTTCTTTTACCATTAATATGTTGTACATAATATTGTACATGTACTTTCATGTTTTTCTATAATTGAAATTGTAATATATTAAAGAAAACTTTTGGGGATTCAATTGTTAAAAAATAGGGTCTTGTCGTTGAAAAAGAGTAATACACCATTTGGTGGTTCCCTAGTGTCTGTATAATAAGTAGTGAATGTTTTCCGTTTAGAAGCATGCTGATGAAGTAGAGTTTATCTGTTTCTGTGACAACGGCTTATTAGGGGATAATATGGAAGTTCTATGTTAAGCTACTTTCGCTTTCCCTAACGTCAGGCGGTTCATCCTACACGCCAAGATCCAAACTCGTGACTTTCGAGTTAGTAGTCGAGCGTTTTATCGGCTAAACCATCCAGTTCATATAAATAATATGAACAAAAATGAACAAAAGCCCCGCATGCATTCGTGTTAATTAAATAAAAGACATGATAAATAAATCTGTGTCTTTATGATACCCCAGACTTGCACATAAGTGTGTCATTTAAAACTAATCCATAAAAGTCTTGTATTTTCCCGATATTGCGAGAATTGTATTTGCTTATTCATATGTATAATTATTCTTTTTAAAATTATTACATTAATTAGTTAATTTTATTTAAAAATATTGTATACATTTGTGTTGTTTGGTTTGGTGTACAGCAAATGTATAAATACAATGGAAAAATTTAAATACGTTTTTGTGGTACACATATTATTTTTTAATTGTTTTTGTCTTTTAAATTAGTGCCAAGCTTAATGTTGTATCATCTATTATAAAGATGAGCCGCACACAAGTAAAAATTAAAGACAATCTACACTTATTGGACACAGAAATTCATAAACACATATAAAAATACAAACATTGAAAACCTACTCAAAGAAAAAAAGTGTTGTCGTTTAAAAAATTGTATAGACAGAAAAATGAATCGAATGCAATTCTATTTATTTGAAAAAAAAATTAAAAATTGGTAAAATAGTGAAGGCTATACTTTTCAATTTTAAGATGTTATGCGCCTTATTTCCAAACTCATTTTGCTATCGTATAAATAAAATATAATATAAGTTTAGGGGTTGCAATGATGTTGCCATTGCGTCATCAAAAATCCCAGCACTAAGTCTTAAAGAAAATTCGTCTGGCGATAAATTATTATTTTAGAGGCTCGACGTTCTTTGCTTTATTCTCTCTCTCTCTCTCTCTCTCTCTTTATCTCTCTCTCTTTCTCTCTCTCTGTTTATCCACACCACTTATAAGTATCTAATAACATTAAATACAGTTAATTATTATTTCTGGAGCCGCCTCTTTTCCACTCTAAGACGAATGGGCTACAGTTTGTTTTACAGTTTAGCTTACTTACTAGACAATATAATAAAACAGGTTCACAGAGCAGTGCTTAAAGCAGTTACAACGGACAAAAAGGCCTGAATGAGAATACTAAAGAAAATCATACCAAATCATCACCCAGTCCATTATAACAATCAAAGCTGCCTATAATTCCACATATAAGTCGCATCACCAGTTAAAGGCTGATATATCATGTATTGATGTTTAGTAAGCAAAGATAAATCGTTCAAACACAAGGAGTAGGGTACATTAATGACACTTATATTAAAGTATTACTCATTGTAATAATTAACCTTACAATAAAACAACTCATTTAAAAAAAATCATCATCCACTTAGCCGTGGTTATTGTTTCGACTAAATTTCAGAGTTTAAATGTTGATTTTCTGAGACATCATTCCAAGACAGATAAACCGATGAATCGTAATATTCTTTGACTCTTTTTAAAAATTGTGGCTTATTATTTTATTTAATATAAATGTAAGGGCGATCGTGGGGTTGGAGAGTGAGTGGTTTTGGAAGCTGAGAGCAGTATTATGACAGATGAGCAAAAAATGAATTATGTTAACGACCATGCTATTACCTAAATAAAATAATGATAAAATCCTGATACTTTCCAAAGTAAAATTAAATTCACTAATATACCTTTAGGTACAAGCAACTAGCTAAGATGCATCGACAGTGGTACATAAGAATTGTTTAAAATCTCAGTTAAGGGGAGGAAAGGATATCAGCTTTCTCCATACTCTTCAATGTCTTGGAATAATATAAGAATCGATGAAAAAACTTGATGGGGCAGTTACCATCAACAGTAAAATACATTACTAACTTGCTCTTTGATGAACAATATGTTGACTTAGCTAGAACAGATTAGTACACAGTACAGCTTATGGAATAGACATTACATATATATATATATATATATATATATATATATATATATATATATATATATATATATATATATATATATATATATATATGTAATATACATACATAATTTATATGCATATGTTATGTATATATATATATATATATATATATATATATATATATATATATATATATATTATAGATGTATATATGTAGGTATATTTATAAAAATATACATATACATACTCACACATATATAATTATTTTACAAAAACTCTACAGTTTAGTTTTTGTAATATGTGACGTTGGGGTAGGCAGGGAGTGTCACCTGATATAAACTATTAAAAAATTAAATGACTTTTATTTTAAAAACTTCCCATATGCAATGAGTAATTGCATCAATACTAAGTGAACCACGTAGTTATATTTTTCTATGTTTAATATTTCTGAACATGTAAAATGGGATAAAAATCTCTTTCAGTAAATTCTCGTAAATTAGACTTTAACGGGAATATCCGTTTATATATTTCAATTGCAACATTAACAAATTAGAGGTAGGCGTGTAAATTACTAAAAATTTAAGGTTAGGGCTGCTAAATAGCAACATTTTGTAAACATTGTTACAAAATATTTGTTCATAAATATTGTTAAATCGGCATCATTAAAGTTTATGATTAGAAATTAGTATTTTTTGACAATAAATTGACAATGACACGGACTAACATAAAAGCTTATTTTTTTATTATTAGGCTTATTAATTATTATTTAGCAGTTGTATAATAATTTTTGTATTACATTGTTTATGTGTGTGTGTGTGGGGGGGGGGGGAGAATGTGAGTCATGTGTTTTGCATTAAATTAATATATTCGATTTTATATTATTAAAATATGCTTATTTAAAATTGTATGACTTTTAATCAACTGTGGTCTACCGAAGAAGAATGGGAATTCCCGAAATCAACACATTATATTATTCTATTTACAAAGAATAATATTGCAACCATTCTACTTGACAGACTGAACATACATAAAATTTACAAAATGATTTTTGTATTAATTTTATGGGATAATGCAGCAACTGCTTATAATTAGAAGGTTGCATATTAAAATGGTATTAATGAAACACATTCCTTAGACTTAAAATAAAGAAGGACTGAGCTCCCATAAATTTTCTCGTATATTCTTATATACCAGGGTTAGAATGGCACTTCCAGTGTATTCAGGCAGTAGATATATAGAAATATGTGAAGTTGAAAAGTATAATTTTTAAATCAATGCCCTTTTTGAGTAAGAAGTGCAGAATGTTTAGAATGATAGTATCAAATCTCTGTGCTATAGGTCTTGACTTATCACAAAAACTGATTCCAAACATTGTAATAATAAACTAATTTACTAAGTAGAAATGCAATTAAGGTGAGTTGAAAATTTTATTTATCAACAAATGTAGCTTTTGAAAATTAGATTATTGATTTGGTTTCAAAGATAGGTTAATTAAACGCTTAATATTAAACTTTCATTTTTTTCCCTATTGCAGTTAGTCTCTGAGTTCTAAAAGGAAAATCCTTATAATGCTGTTTACAAAATCGTGTAAAAATGATCACGAGGGCTTTATTCCAATGGAGAAGTTCAAAATAGAAGATCTACCACGGAGATATCAAAAGAAGGAGGTGTTTCAGGGTATAAAATCTCTGTCACATTTAACAGTCAGAGTACTTGTACAATCGGAAGACAGACATCACGAAACCAATAAAATTGGTTATGGTCAAAAGGTTGGGACAGGCACAGTGTCAGATGTGTGCTATCAACATAAGTGCATTTCAATCATTAGTGCTTTGATCAGCATTTTCAATATCTATTTCGAATGGACAAGGAAAACAACTGCAAGTGTTGTAATAACGACAGCCTACCATGTTGTTGGTAACGATGAAGAAGCTTCCAGAACAAAGGTGGAACTTTTCTACGATGACGATTCGTCAAGAAAAATGGTGCAATTTTTGAAAGGAAGTCACGTCGTTGCTAAAAACGAAAACGAAGACTGGTGCATCTTTATCTGCAAAACAGGCGATCTAAAACTTGCAAGGAAACTTGAAGCACAGGTGAAAAAACACGAAAGTCTGCAGAAAAAAATTAAGAAAGTATTACCTGGGCCGTCAGATCTGGCAGTTGTAGTGTCCCACCCACACGGTGGGCCCAAGCACGTCTCTATAGGGACTTATGCAGTGAGCGAGCCAGCGAGATTTGTTGTCATTGGCAACGGCTTAACGATCACTTCTGCTTTTTCTGGTCACCAGATGACTTATACAATGCATTTTATTTGGCCGGATATTGTCACTGGAAAAAGTAAGTGAAATATTAACTCAGTGGCGTAGGCAAGGGGGGATAGGGGTGGTTATGGACACATGGACCCAGACCCCTATATATATATATATATATATATATATATATAAATAGATAAATAAATAAATAAATAAATAAATAAATAAATAAATAAATAAATAAATAAATATATATATATATATATATATATATATATATATATATATATATATATATATATATATATATGTGATTTTATCCATATGGAGAAATATTTGAACCCCTCCCATGACCAATTCCTGGCTACGCCACTGATTAAACTTAATTGTTTACTTTTGTTTAATATCAGTATAGTTGACATCGAAAGATTATATTTTTGTGTGTGCTAACCTTACGCTGTACGTATTTATCATTATTAACCATACATTTGCTTTTCACGCACAGTTTCAGATGAAGTCGGTGTTGAATGTGAAATCGTGTACCCCGATGATACGACCTTGCTTTACCCCATTTGGCAGATGGATCAGTTGGTTAAATATGTGAGTTGTTATAAATAAAATAACAAGTAATAATTTAATACTTTTTTGTTAAATAATTACTACGAGCCGACCCGCGGCATATCATACGCCGCTATTTAGTTGTTTTATTTTCTACTTTTCAGTAATTCATAATTTGTGAATTCGACAGTACCAATGCTGAAAAAATGTTTGCTTTAAAATACTATCAGTGTTTTTTTTTTAAAAATAATTTTATTTTCCATAAAACAAAAAGCAAAATATTTACAGTAACATTGTTTACATAACTTTGAATGAATAAGTACATATGTTAATCATATACAATAAGAAGGTGGAGATACAACATTTTTACATGACGCTGGTTGGCATTTCTTTGAAAAATATATTAATTATATATATTAATTATATACACACACAAAAATTAATTCAACTTATTTACAGTGACTTGTTTAACTTTTCTTTGAGTAAATAAGTAAATGTAAAGAAAGTGGAAAGACAACATATTTCCAGTAAGCTGGCTTACATTTCTTAGAAGAATATATTTTTTACAGTGACATTTTTATGTAGTTGTATGTAGTTAGATGGACTCGGGGTCGTTATACTTATTTGCACCCGGATCTCCATATTAAGGAGGTGAGAAAAGAATAATTGTCGTAGGGACAGTTGTCTAGCGGGGTTAGAATTTGAAGAGGGGTGGGTGCGTTAGGTGTGGTTTTTCACATAGGGTGGATGGATGGGGGGGGAGGTCATGAACTATAGCCTGTGCAAGTAAACAAAAACTTTTGTCAGCGGCTGAGCTGGGGCGGGGGGGGGGGGGGGAAAGGTGTGTTCTAGTCGCGTGCTGGGGTGTGGAGTTACAGTGGGAGTTTCTTTTTAAAGGTCAACAATTTATTACAAAGGTTCTTATAAGGGAGTTCAAATATGTTCAAACCTGTTGTTGTAGGTAAACAAACAGGCCAAAGAGAGAAATGAGAAAAGTGGTGGGTGGGGGGGGGGAGGTTTTGAACTATAGTCTACGTGACCACAGCTCACCAGACCTTGTAGGGGTGGGGGCGGTAGGGAGCGCGCTTACAGCTTGTTTTCTAGCGTCTCTCAGAAGAGAATTATATGTAGAGATTATTGTTTCGTAATGCCTTTTAAGCACATTTAGATTTAAGTTTGATTACATTTTGATTGCATTTAGATTGCATTTTGATCACATTTTGATTACATTTTGATTACAATTTGATTACATTTTAATTACATTTTGATTACATTTTGATTACATTTTGATTACATCTTGATAACATTTTTTTCAAATTGTAGACGAAACATGAACTTTTCGTGAAAGGCGGACTACGAGGCTTTCAAGAAGAAGATTTGTACCTGGAGATAGAGTTACCTGGTGAAGAGACTCAGGTGATGGACGACAACCAAACTCTGGACTACTACTGGGATGCTTTGTGTCAGGCTTTTCGAATCCGCATGAAAGTGAAAGTACCAGTTTTCGATAACGTGGATAAAAAAATTCCGATGCATCATCTCAGCTCAACACATGAAACCGTTGTTGGAAGGTTACGTCAAATCAACGTTTAGTTAATCCCAACTTTTTGTTTGCCTAAATTTCTTTTTCAAATATGGCTCATTACTCAGATTAAAATCGATATTTTAACTATATTTTGCTTACCACATGCTTAGAAGTGCACATAAACTAACTATAACGCGTTTATTTCCATTGCTTATTAGTCGTTCATGAATGTTAAATAGACGAAGGGTTTGGGGTGAGGGTGGAATTTAGTGACGATGTATGACAAGGGGTAGTGGGTTACGAAAGTGTGAGATTAGCATTTATGTAACATATTGAACACGCAAGAAATGTTGGAAAACTGCTTATTTTTTCTTTGAGTTATTCTAGTCAGCTAGCGATGATAGAGAGGTGTAACATTCGTCTTAAACAGCCTGACGGCATGTATGGACGATTTGATTCTTCGGCACTTTGTGCAATATTTTTTTGTGAATAAATATAATTTGTGTATTGGTAAGGAGACAGGAGATCAATCACAAACTTTTTTTTTAAAGCGCGTTTCTTTAAAAAGTGTAAAAGTTAAGAACATTTTACTTTTAAAAAAATTGTGAGTTACAAAACATTTAGTTATATAGGCTACCATTGATAATATATTATACACATTTACATACTAAGATTTTATCTGGCTCAGATAGTTTCTTAAGTACGACATTGAAACTTCTTTTTTAGCACCTGCGATATTATCGCTTTCTTATTATCTAAACGTAATTAAAAGGTAATTAATTCTTATTCCCTGTACAGTCAACCTTCGTATTTCACACAACAAATGTTTTCATCCAGTCCTTATATGAAACTGGAAATTTAAGCAATGCTTATGTAATATATTGAGAATTGTGAAGTCAAGGGAACTCACTCTTCTCGTATTAGTCTTATATTTGTAATGTTGTTTTGGGTGATGTCCCTTGTTTATATCTCGTGACTCCCTGTTCCTGTTTCCGTCATGGTGGCTGAATAAAAGATCTCTATACAATCAACGTGGCTTCTGCGTCAGTGTATAATAGAACGGCCCAATCTACCACAGCTTAGTTAGATGCAAATTATAAGGCTATTCAAGTTGCAATGAAATAAAATTAGCTAAATTACAAAAAACAGTATTTAACACATTTTACATAGAAGCACTGTACCACTTTACTTTAGTACAATGTTTACACATTTGTGTACTTGCTGATTATAAATTGATTAATTGAAACAAAAAATTTAAACGTCTTTTCTTCTTTTTATTTAAAGTTGCATAATGCTGATTGCGTTCAAGTTATGTTAATGTTGTTAAATAATGTATAGTTTCCTTTAGCAAATTCTCGAGTTCGAAACCTCGGGAAGATGAGGCTCGCCAGCTGCGGCCAGCAACCCATCTAGGAGAGAAAACTCCGAAATAATACAAGAATGAAGCCCCTTAGGTGATAGGATTTCCAACTCTGTTTCCTTTCGGCACCTCCAACGGCACAGCTGATTCCAAGGTGTAGGCTTACAGGTAAAGTCCTGTCCCTTGAGTCTATCAGCTGTGAGGAGAGATGGGGTCTATTACATGGGCAACATCTAGCTCTTCTCACCTTACCACTCAGACTTACTTTTCCAATACACATCATCCAATGGTCTTTTAGAATATAGAGCCATATATACTATAATAAACTGGGATTATAATGAGGATTGATGGTCAAATCCCTTGTTTCATATCAATGGTTCTTAACCTGGTTTCGATCAAGCCCCAGTGGTTTAGTGAGTCAGTCTCAGGAGTTCGGTTAAAGTTAGGCCTAAGACACGCCCGACTTAAATAACTCATGATGGGACCATGTCAGTTTGGACAATAGAACTAGAAGGGTTCAGTGAATGTGCATATGGAACTGATGGGGCTCGGTCTCCAAAAATTTTAAGAACCCTTGCTGTAAATATGTGTATGGATGAAAGCTGTGAGCGATGGGTTATTCATTAGTGCCGCTGCTCAACTTGTAAGGTAAAAGTCAACAAAAAAATCAATTCTTGGATTAACCACGGTGTATTTTTAAATTATCGTTGATGAATGGTAAACATGTAGCTAACACACAGAGAAGTAGATTATAGATTCAAAAACTCTAATATTACAATGCTTAAAAATAATAGATAAAATTACAATCTGTTTTTGGATGATAAAGTATAGTAAAGTTCCCTTTTAAACCTGACGGCATATGAAGAGATAGTGTGGTCAGCACTATGAGTTGGGTGGACTCAGCGGCGGTCTACTGACTTGAACCCGGATTCGAACTACTAATACTATGAAGTTTAATAAAATATACAAGAAGAATACAACAATAAAATAATAAATAATAAAAAAGGTTTACAACACAAATACTGATACACGATACTTAATACGACTCAATGTTTGTATAACGAAAGTGAAACTTCAGTTTATAACTTAGACTTGATGAAAATAAATAGAAATTAGCTCTAAACGCCAAAAATTATTTTCAAGTTATATGGATTTTTATAACATAGATTCTAAAAAATATTAAATTTCTGAATTGAATTTTTTTATCACTATTGAGCACGATTTGTAACCACATTAAAAATAATGATGGAAGTATTCTCGTCAACTCGGTCAAGTCCATTACGAATAGATTAGCTCCTCTAAAAAGTATTTTTTTTTTCAAAACATGGCTCGAAAACTAGAAAAAACTAATGAGATTTAAAAAAATTATTTCCAGAAACATGCACGTTAACATAGACACAATGAATAGACGGGATACAAACATAAAATAGAACAACAATACATAAACAATTTTAAATAGTTACTAATCCTTAAAATGTAGGCCTATACTATCTTTTAGTTATAGAAAAATGACTTATGTTAAGAAAAAATAATTCCATGCATGAGTCTGATTCAAACTTTTTATGTGCTGCAGATCCAATAATTTGTTTCGGGAATACCCAAACAGATGTGTACAAAGGCGAACGTTGATTATCTATCTATCTTTCATTCATTTAATTTATTTTTATCTTAACGTGTAGCCTTCTCATTGGTGATTTTGAAATAGGAGTTTTTACATGACAAATCAATTTATGGGTTCATAGTTTAGACTGAAACATCAAGCATAAATTATATAATTATAAAATTAAAATATGGGAAATACTATTTCTAGGATAGAAGAAGAAAAAAAAATTACTGATAGTGATAAAGGTAAAATAACACTGTTCTTTAGGAAGCATTTCTTCATAAAAAGGTTGAAATTTATAATTAATATTTTAGGCCAACACATTTTTAGTACCGTAAGTTTGATATGCATTTGAATTATTTAGATATATAAAAAAGGTCTCTACTTCTTCTTCATCGTTCTTAATTTTAGTGTTGGAAGGGATTTACTTTAACACATTTAACACATGATTTTTAATTACTTAAACTTTTAAAAATAGAATAGAATCTCATAGAAAAAGAATTGCGCGCCAAAACATAATGTGCATAATAGTGCGCAATATTATTACTTACTTACTTAATCCTCATCACTCCCTGTGGAGTATAGGGCAACAACAAATCTCCGCCATTCCACCCTGTCCTGGGCGAGCCACTTTAGTTCATGCCAGGTTTTGCCAGTAGCCTGTACTTCTTCTTCCATCTCCCTCCTCCATGTTCCCAGTGGTCTTCCTCTACTTCTCTTTCCGGGTGGGTTCCACTTCAGCGCCATGTTGGGGAGTCTTTTTTTGCTCATGCGTAGGACATGGCCCAGCCATCTCCATCTCCTCGTTCTAACTTCTGAGACAATGTCGTTTAATCCTGTCCTTCGCCATATTTCCTTGTTCGGGACTTTGTCGTCCCACTTTATCCTGAGGATGCGTTGGAGGGATCTTCTTTCAAAGCCTCTGAGTCGGCTGTCTACTTTCTTGTTTAGTTTCCATGACTCTGCAGCATAGAGGAGTACAGAACGTACATTAGACTTATAGGTCCTTATTTTAGTTCTCTGCTGCAGTGAGGATGATTTCCAGATCTTAGCAAGTCTGTTGAAAGCTTGTGCTGCCATTGCTATTCTGGTGGCAATTTCTTTCTCCATGCTGCCATTTGCTGATATATAGCTGCCGAGGTACTTAAAGTCTTCGACCTCTTCTAGCTCTGCTCCATTCGCAAAGGTACTAATAATATTGCGCACCTTTGCGCAATATTATTAGTACTTTATAAATTTACATGCTTTTTTGAGAAATCGAAAATAGCGTAAATTAGTACTTCCGGTTAACGGAAATTACTCAAAATTTGACATAAGGTAGAGAATTAGATCTTTTACTTACATGTGAGATTTCATTTATCTATCCTAAATTGTACTCAAGTTATAGGCTTTTGAAAAATTCAAAGTAGAAAAAGTACCACTTTCAGTTATAGGAAATCGCTCAAAAGTTGATCAGGATCTACGATTTTGATAAAATACTTATGTATGAAATTTCATCAACCTAGTTGTAACGGTACTCAAGTTATCGTGTTTACACACAGACAGACAGACAGACAGACACACAGACACACAGACATACGGACAAGATTGCAAAATTATTTTTTTCCGTATCAGTGAGGTGTAAAACGTCGAGATTTGTAAAAATCTCGATTTTTTTTTGCACGATTACATGACTTTCTCTATACGAGAAAGTAAAAATGGAAAAATATTGTGTCTTTTTATAAAATTTTAAATCACTACTACATTTTATTTTTCTTGTTTTAGTGTCTTTTTTTCATTTCTAATTTCCAGATTATTTTAAAGTGAATTTCGAAACCAAATTAACCAACAGCTGGGGCACATTAACTATACGGGATTGTGGTAACGACCACGGTAATTTTATCCCCGTGAAACAGTTTAAACTTCAAGACTTGCCTGAAGACTGTCGTAGAGAAGAAATTTTTCAGTGCGTCAAAACACTCTCTTCTTTAACATGTTTAGTCGACGTGAACGGTTTGAGTACATCACGACCAAAATACGAAATGCACAAAAAACTTTTAAAACACAGGCTAGGCACAGGTACTGTCATTCGTGTGGGATTTGACGATACAAGTTATCCTCAAAACTGTAAGTGTATCACTTGCTCTGGTTTAGAAGAACGTGTCCAGAAAGTAGAAAAGACAGCCACTATAGAAGTAATGACAGCATGCCATGTTGTCTTTGATTGTTTCGAGGCTTCTATGACTCGGATAAAGTTGTTTTACGATGACGAATCGAATATGAAAGACATAGTTTTCCTACAAGGCAGTCATGTTGTTTCCAAAAACGTTCAAGACGATTGGTGTGTTTTTGCTTGCCGAACGACGGACTTACAACTGGCGAACATGCTTCTAGGGATGTTAGAACTCTACGACGCACAGAACAAAAAGTTACATGAAATAATTAACGAGCCCAAAGATCTAGCAGTCATCGCATCACACCCTCATGGCCGGTCGAAGCATATTTCTATCGGCAAGTGGACGCCTATCAAACCAATTACCATTGATAGTGGAATAACGGCTGAGTTTTTAGATGATAGAGCTGTTTATAATTTACACATCGGATGCCGAAATACTGTGACAGAAATCGAGAGTTCAAGTTCGTCAGTAGAGAAAGAAAGCCCATCATTTTATAATGAAAATTCTAGCTCAAAAACTAAGATAAAAATTAAAACCCCGGTCAATGTAAAAGAAAAGATTAGCCACGAACCTGTAACAGATGACCAAAGTATTATAAATAAAAGTTTCTACTCTGTAAAAGGGAAAGAAAGCGCGGACAATGAAAACAGCAATAACAGCAAAGATGAATCAAACCACGAAGAAACCTTAAAAATGTTCACGGACGAAATAAGCTCACAAACTTTATTGAATAAAAGAATCATTAATATTTTTTGGGAACAAAAAGCTTTGGATATTGTAAAAGGTTCAAGTAAGTTTTACAGTTTTTTTTTACATTTATCAACAGTATTTTTACATTACAAAAAACTAAATCCACTTTATCCACATGTCTTTCGGTTCATCTAAAAAACAAAAACACATGTTAGATCATTTAACTCTTATGTGATTCTCGCCACAAGACCAGTCTTATTACTTTCCCCTCTAACTTCCTTTAATTTCTATCTATCTCACAAAGAGACAGAATTTGTGGGAATCGAATGTGAAGTTTTCTTCCCCGATAATACGACATCGCTGTGTCATCTATGGCAGATCGATCGTAAAGTTTCTGATGTAAGTTGGATGTTATTTATCTCTTAAATTATATCATTTATGCCTCTAATTATTTCATTTATGTCTTAAATTATGTCATTTCTATCTTAAATTATGTCATTTATGTCTTAAATTATTTAATTTATGTCTTAAGCTATGTCATTCATTACTTAAATTATGTCATTTATGACTTAAACTATGTAATTTGTGTCTTAAATTGTGTCATTTATGTATTAAACAGGACATTTTTATTCGTAAATCACAATATCGCAAAGCTGAACAAAAAAGTAGTTGTATGTCTCGCAATTTAAAATTTAGTCATACGTTTTCATTTTATGGTTATTTTTTGGCTTGTCACAAGACAAACAAAAACTATAATTTAACTTCATTAATATTTTTTAATTAATTTAAAAAGATTTTTTTCCATATAGATCATCATTACAACTATTGAAAAATAAACATTTAAATGTTTATAATGACGAGTACTTAACAATGCGATAGTTATATTGGATGTATCTATTTGACAGACGAAGCACGAGCTGGCGATGTCTGCAGGAATCAGGAACATCCCAGAGGCCGAGCTTTACCTGGAGATCCAGTTACCAGACGATCAGAGACAGGAGATGGACGACAACAAGGAATTAAACTACTACATTGACGATATATCTAAAGCCTATAGAATCTTCATGAACCGTAGAATAATTTAATTTAGTTTTAGACATTTATAATATTTTAGTTGCGTTTTTCTTAATATTGCATGTTTAAAAGTATATACTCTATATACATAAGCAATAATACATAGCTGAAGATCATCTGGGACGGAAAAAAAGGTAAAGATTTTAATTTGGTTTGGTAAAACTGTCCTGTAATGAGAATAATGTTTTCTATTTTTCTTTAATATTCGATATACTAGATTTCTTCAAAAACCTTTGGAAATAATATATATATATATATATATATATATATATATATATATATATATGTAAATATATATATACATTTATTTATTTATATATACACACATAATTAAACCTATTGTTTTTGTAACCGTGGATCTAAAATTAAAGCTTTCATATGTCTTTGTTAATGAGTTCATATGTCTCATTGTATTGTCAAATTAAAATGACAGTGAAAGTACCAATCTTTATTGAAACTCCTCTAATCTACTAAAATAAAACGAACAATTATTATTCTTTGTTATACTATTTTATTTCTTAACATATTTAACAAAAAAAGGTGTATAAACATTTATTTCGTAGACTTCGTATATAAAAATAGTTATTCTCTTGATTCTTATGTACATACAATTTATAAGTCAAAATCAAATGAAAAAAAAGTTGCATTTTGAATTTATTATTTTCACAAAGCATATTGAAATAAACATCTTCTTTCTAATTTACATAAGTTGTCTTTTGCGTTTTATGAAAAAGCTACATCCAACTTTTATTACCCACATGATTAAAAATTGTTAGTTTGTTATTTAAAGAAATACTTCTATGCAATTAAATTTTTTTGTTGCATTTGTTATTAATTCACTTTACGTTTTTTTTTCTAAAATTTAAATAAAGTAGATACCCTTATGACAAGTATTTTGATGTTTCAATATTATAATGTTTGAGATTGTATTTGAAACGTTTTAACATGTTTCGCCTAAAAATTTAATAATGGAAATTAGGTTGAAATTTCGATATTTTACAATTTATTGTAATTATATTATTGTTTTTATTAGAAGTTATTTTTAAAAAGTGATATTTCTTTAAAATTAAAATAAATTAATAATAGTATTAGTTTATTTTTTATTTTAGTAGACGTTTTATTATTGTATATGGTAGGAATTTTTTTTATTATTAATGTTTACATTCCTTTCTAAATTTAGAATGTCAGCACGAATAAAACAGCAAGTAATTCCGGGAAAACTTTGCTGATAACGTTTTCTGGAGAAATTCACGAAGTTTTTCAGGACAAAGCTGACATTGGATCGATTTGTTCAATGGAGCACAGCTAGTCTAGCTAGGACAGTTTATCTCCAAGTTAGGTTTAGCTACATACGTAATGGATTCATTAAAGTCAAGTTTCAAATGTTAGTTAGTTCACTGTACAGCACTTTTAAAGAACTTAAAGTAAAGAAAGTTTCGATAAATTGCCTTTAAGGTAAGGAAACAGTGCTGTTCTGTTTTTGTCATATTAATTGAGAAAATTATTATGTGAAGCAGACATAAATTGTTTCAGAGATGTAAAATATATCTTCATTTTAAATATATTAATGTTGCTTAATAATAAATAAACAAGCGCGCACTTATTTTTACAATCTATAATATTAATTTTTTTGTATGCATAATATGTAGTTCAATTTTAAAAGTTTCATGAGATGTGTATTTGTTTGGACACACATTATTTTACTGACTATACAGATGAAAACTGTACAGTTTGAGTCATAAACCCTCTTTAAAATCAAGCAGTATGTGCACATACTGAAGCTGCTTTAATGTTAATTATAACACGCTTCTCATCTAGTCTCACTTTAAAGTAAATAAATTAAGTGAATTATTTGTTCAACGCTTAGCCCAATACAGTGGAAACAATAAACAAAACGTTAATATTGTTTTCTCTACCATCTGTTATTGTTTCTGATATAACATATTTGTAAGAAAAAATGCATTGCCTGTGGACTTTAATATTGTTTTTATTTGTGTTGCAGATGGCAAGGTTTGGTAAGTTTTGGTAACCACTAATTTAGATTCAATAAAAACTGAAGTATAATTTAAGAAAATTAAACTCAAATATTCTTGACATTCTCTTAGCTCTTGTTGTCTCCTAACATATTTTTAACTTACTCGATTAAAACTACTTCAATGTACTGTCCTTCTTTTTCGTTATTAATTAAAATTTTTGAAGGGATTTTCTCACACATAATGAAGTTCTACGTGTCAACATGTTCTGCCCCATTTAGGCCGTTGACTCTGATTTCAGCCTGTTTTTCTTTTTGGGTTTGCTTCCCTAGCTTTTGACCAGCCAAGAACAAATTACAAAGGAGTAGTTGTATAATTTTGGAGTTCTTTCCTAGATGGGTTCCTGTCCCAAGCCTCATCTGCTATGTTTAATCTACTAATTTATTAATTTTAAAATATGCTGCAGTAATTTCATTCTCTTTAGTTTTAATTTTGAAAAGAAATCAAAGCAATAAAAGATAAGAAAATGTAAATTGTATTTTTTAGAGGCCGAACAAATGAGAACATTTCTTATCAGAGTACAGTACCCAAATCAAACCGAGCCTGTGAATAAAACTATTGACGTTGATAGTACATGTTTACAGGTAAAACAAACCAAGCAAATTATATTCTAGTACAATAATATGGAGTGCTTAGTGTGAAAATGTATATCCAACTCTGTAAAATTCTGACCGACAACATGAATATCTACAGTTTAACAATAGCAAAAAGATTCAAATTTTAAAAACATGATAAACCTTAGAAAATTAAAGGATTTTGTTGTTGTTGTTGTAAATTGAAAGTTTGAGGTGTCAAGTTAAAGATTCTATGCTATTTTATACTAAACCGTGTAAAGTTTTTTTATTCGTTGGTGTATCATTACGATTGATTTACGATTGAGGATTATAATTATGTACCTATAGTATTTTTAAGCTTTTTATGGCAATAAAAATATTAATTTAATATTAATAATAAAGACTGTTTATAATACGAGATATTCTAGGTTTAGTAAGCGAGCTGATTTTATATTTGGAAGAATCTTCGATGTTTATTGATAATAGTGATCCGAATTACGCAAAAATGTGTGTGTAGCTAGTCTGGACGTACCAAAAGTTTGTAAACACATACATCTATTTACGTATAGTTTTATAACTTTATACTTTAATTCATGAAGGTGAAAACACAACTCTTCGCTATGGAGAGATTGCCCAATCCTGAAGACTACGTGATGATGGCCAACAGTGAAGATGGCGAACAGACAGAAATGCGAGACAACGACAGATTTACTCGATACCAGTCTATACTGTTGAACGGATACATCAGCTTTGTCTTGAAGCGGAGAACAAATTAAAGAAACAAAATAAGCCATTCTTTAAATTTCAACAATATATTTAGTTCATATTATCATACAATTTTAGTTCATTTTATTGCCCATAGTTGCAGTTGTAAGAAACACATTTTCTAGTTATGCGTCGGTTATAAATATACATTTTTTTCGATTTAACTTTTTTTTTTACAAAACCGTGCAAATATTATGCAACAAAGTTATAATTTTTAGCTACCATGTGTAAGAGTATATCATATTTCTATAGACCCATCTTTATTGGATTTAACTTTTCTCAGAATTATCCTGTATGAATTACTATACAATTTTTACAATTACAAGTGTTGGTTTTTTCAAACCAACGTTTTAGAATTTGACAAAACGTTTCTTGTTTCATCTGTATAAATATTGTAAATTGATAATTGTATCAACTCTATACGGTTAAAATGTTGCTAAAATAAACATAAACTGTGTAATATAACGGGGCTTGATATTATCACTCAACCTTATAAAACAGAATAACAAAACATCATACCTTTTTAGTGTTATCTAACCACACTTATTTATGTGTAACATTTAATATTTACTTTCAAAACATTTGAACGTAATTTTGCAATGTCATTAGTATATAGAAGTAGTACACTTTTAAAATGTTGCTGATTTTCTTCTAAGTATTGCAATGTTTAACAAAATCAGTCTAGGTCTATTTTTTTTTAAAGTATAACGAATCACATTTTAAAGTTTGGACTCTAGGAGTTTTGTACCATTCAAAGAAACTCAAAAACTATAAAATCAGATTTTTTAATTGGAAAAACGGACTACTTATTTAAAATAAAGACGACAACTTAGAAAAAAATATTTATTAATGTCCATTAGGTTATACTTTAAAACTGCCTAATTGTTTTAGTTTTTTTTATAAATATTTTAAAGACTTACAGTTCTGTGATAACAATATTTATGAATTTTTTAAATGTGTTAATTATTTAAAATGTTATATTTTATATATCATCTTTATTTAACATTCTTTCAAAATTATATTAATAAATAATTTTATAGTAATTGATAAGTTTAATGAGGGTGTCTTTTTTTAAAAATCATGATATGATTTTTTAAAATTTGATTTTTTAGGCCATTATAGAATCGAGGTGTTTATTAAGTGCATTGTTTAAAGACAAACACACATCCCGTAAGTTTGAGAAGGCAAACAGATTTTAAAAGCTTTTAAATTTAAATTTATGTTGTAAAAATAATTATCCTTGCTAGAATGGGTGCCTACAACTCACATATAAACGATGGATACTCAATGATTTACCGCTCAAGAATACCTCTGTTATTTAAAGAAGAGTTGTACTAAAAATAACTTCCAGGAATTTTGGTTCTTTTAAAATTAGAACATCAGCCTCGGGGAAACTCCGATTTTAACTGAAATAACCTTAGGCTTGAATTTCATTTATTGAAAATATTTTTCGTGTACGCTAGTGTATTTTTCAAAAGAAGGTAAGAAGTTAAATCTTCTCACTATTGAAAAAATAATATCAAAACTTTTTTCCCCTTGATATTGATAGATAAATAATTAATTTCTTCAGAAATGTAATAATAAAATATTTATGTCTCATCGGAAAAGCATGAAACTGTTACTAAAAATAGAAAAATAAAACGACTTAATAATAAAAAGAACAAAGCTAGTTTTTTTTTTTAAAATACAATATTTTATTTTAAAAAATAAAGCTAGAATTATTAATTGTGAGAAACAAAGTAAGTCACTTTTGGTTTATTTAGAGCATGTTAGAGAGTTTGGTGGAGCAAATATAATTATCTAGGGCATCAAAGCAATACCTATTGATTATATTTCCACTGTTCAACGGCGC